ACGACGAGGACACCGACTGCGGACGACGACCACGAGGACAACGAAGATGACGACTACGAGGGTGGGGACGACGCCGATGAGGGCCACGGCGAGGTCGATGATGATGAGGGCGATGGGGGCGCCGACGACGACGACGACGACGAGGACGACGACGACGACGACGTCGACGACGATGACGACCAGCCTGCCGCGTCGGTCAGTCGGTCTCAGTCGAGCTGACGGCCGACGCTGCGGGGGCGACGACGACGACGCGATGACGACGACGACCCGACGACGGGATATCATAGGGGGTGGAGCTTGGTGGAGCTGGCTGCTGCATGGCGCCGAGGCCCGCTCGGGGCGGCCTGGCGCAGCGAGGCGTCATTGCCTGCATGATCAGTCGAAGTGGCTGGATTTGAAAAGTGAAAGAGGGGTTCCCATCTCCCCTCATTCTCCCCTACTCGTCCCCCTATCGTCTCCCTCAGCCCCCCCGGGCCCCCTCCGCACCCCTGCCCCTCAGGAGGAGGGCGTCGAGAGGAAAGGGCAGGATGGCAGGATGGGACGTGGGAAGCGGGTGGGTACGAGGTCATGGGAACAGGCGTCCGCTTAGGTTCGAGGCTCACGCAATTCCGCGGCTGCTTAGCTCCAGAGTTGCAGTGGCTGCGTTCGCCTCCCGCGGGGCTCCCTCATGGAGGATTCCTGTAGGCCTCCCAAGGGCTTCTTAGGGGCCTCATGGGGCCTCCTGAAAGCGTTTTGCCACCCCCCCAGGGCTCTCGAGGGCTGTTTCGGAGCTATGATATCTTCATCCTTTATTCCATTATTCCTTTTCGCGCTTTACTCCCTTAACCCCTCACCCCCTGACCCCTTACCTACATGTATTTCCCTTACTCCCTTACTCCTTTACTCACTGCACAAATTATTTCCTCATGTTTTACTCCTTTACTCCCTTACTGCCTTATTTCCTTACTCCTTACTCCCTCACCCTTTACCCCTTTTACCCCCGTACTCCTGCTCCGTACTGTTTTACTCCCTTACCCCCTTACCCCCTCACTCCTTACCCCCTTACTCCTTACTCCCTTCGTCTTTTACTCCCTTACCCCCTTACCCCCTTACTCCTTACTCCCTTACTCCTTTCCCCCTTCATGTTTTACTCCCTTATTTCCTTATCTCCTCTATCTTTCACCATTCTTACTCCCTTACGCCTCCCTCCTGGGCCAGATTCAGAACGCTGCCTTTCGGGATGCCTCAAGCCCAGGCGCATCGGTCGGGGCTCCGTCGAGACACGTTGGAGGTCAAAGGCGACCTGTTTCTGGAAAACCAATTTTTCGGGCCCATGCCAGACACCGTTCTCACCTTCCAGCCACAGACCTCTATAGACACGTTGGGTGCCGTTCAGTACATCGACATGTTCGGGGTGGGTACGGCTATCAGACAACGCGACAGTTGCGTTCGGCGCAGTAGGAGGTCGGAGAAAGCGTAGATCCGTCTACGGTATGCTCGTGCTCTAGATCAGGTCCCACATGGTACTCTCAGAGACACCGAGCCCAGCCAGCCTCGGTGGCGACGCCGCGACCCGACGGTGCGACCGACAGAGCCGTCTGGCTCGGTGGCGTGCTCCTGCGCTCGTGAGACATGGGCCGTGCAAGGGAGGGCCAGGGCCGGGGTTGCGGGCCGCGGATCTTCAGCACTGTTTAAGCGACCCCTCCCAAAAGAACTTCGGGCACCAGGAAAGCACCGAAGCTAGAGGGTTTTCACGCGTCGGGCTCTGGGAGGCGATACTCGTTCGACAGTTTGCTAGCGCGTCGGGCAGACACTGTTTCGATATTTTTCGAGGTGCTCGAATTTCGTCTGGGATGTGGTCCTTGAGGAAGACGTGAATAACATAACCCGAGCCCGACGATCTCAGCACCCCAGTTGGGGACATGCCCTTCGAAACGCGAAGGACACAGCCTGTCTCCCCATCGAGGGGGGTTAATCGGTCAGTGGGGCCCGGGCCACGCCGGTGGGGATATGGGTCGGTTAAACGATGCTCACTTCTGTGGATCGGGCCGGCAGCTGGGAGGGCAGAAGAGGATCAACGATACGCCGCCGTTGGCAACCCTTCCCTCGGTTTCGCACTGTTTGGGCCTCCTGGGAGGCCCTCGTCGCCACGGCTGGATTCGCCTCGAGACGGCCCTCGCTGCCACGGCTGGATTCGCCTCGTGATTCTGGCCAGGACGCAACCCGGGCGAGGTCCAGGGAACCGCGGTGTTTGTGCGCCTTTTTTTTTGTTCCCAGGTGGGAGCCTGTTGGTGTGTCCTTCCTTCCTTTTAACTCAGGAGGGAAAGAAACACACAGACACAATTAATCGTCGACTCCCAGGAAAGTATGCAAAAATATGGGAAGTGGTGGGGAAGACAAAAACCCAGAAAATATGGGGAAATATGGGGGATATTCTTATTTGTGTGTATTTATTTGTGTGTTCCAGTTCCCCTTCATTAACTCCGACAGTAGCACGCCGATGTCTTTGCCCCACGGCGGCGTGTCATTGCTATTATCCAGGAGGGGAAGAAAACACACACAGACACAATGAATCGTCGACTCCCCAGAAGATCGGGGAAAATGCGGGAAGTGGGGGGGAGTTCGAAGACCCAGTGGAAATAAGGGAAAACATGGGGGGCCCTGCCATTCGTGTCTATATTTATTTGTGTGTCCCAGGGCTCCTTCAGTAGCGGCTTGTCACTGCTGCTGTGCGGCGGCGTTCTCCAGGGCGACAGCGGGGGCGCCCAGCATCGGGGCGCCTCTCGGCTCGACGAACCCAACGAAGACATGAATCACGCTAGTGCCCCGTTATCTTTGGCTTCTCTGCCTGGGCCTTCGCTTGGTGTGCCATGGTTCAGCCCCATGGCGGAGTTTCAGGAGTCTGACGTGCCCGTGGAAGCGGCGTGTCACTGCTGCTGCTGCTGCTGCTGCTGCTGCCCTTCAGTAGCCGACGTGCTTCTCCTACGGCGGCGTGCGACTGCTGCTGTGCCTGCCTCCCACAGCAGGGCCGGTCGGGCTGGACGACAGGGGTGGACGGCCGCCGGCCTGCCGGCGGGTGCCCCATTCGAAGTCTTTTCCCTACCCCCCCCCCCACAAAAAAGGAGGAGGAGGAGGAGGAGGAGGAGGAGGAGGAGGAGGAGGAGGAGGAGGAGGAGGAGGAGGAAGGGGAGGAGGAGGAGGAGGAGGAGGAGGAGGAGGAGGAGGAGGAGGAGAGAGATGATGTGATGATGATGATGATGATGATGATGATGATGATGATGATGATGATGATGAGGAGGAGGAGGAGGAGGAGGAGGAGGAGGAGGAGGAGGGTTGATGATGATGATGATGATGATGATGATGATGATGATGATGAGGAGGAGGAGGAGGAGGAGGAGGAGGAGGAGGAGGAGGAGGTACACGTACACGAATCCACGCCGGTTCCGAGAGCTCGCGCTGCGCGAATGCTCGTGACCCGCGGCCGGCCTCGCGGGTCCAGAGGGGCCGTGTTCTTGCACACGCAGCTGGCCGCGCACGTCCCTCCCTGTGGGTTCCCTGAGAGTGCGGCGGCACCGTGGGGAGGACGGCGAGTGTCCTCAGAGCAAGGCCTAAGTCGGGCGTGCCCCTCTGCAGGAGGCATGTTCAAGAGTAGTCCAAAACTAGTCTTTGGACGATTGTCTGACTATCTTTGAGCACTTTTGGAGTGTCTTTTTTTCGTCCACAAAGATCCTTGTAGGGGGACAGGCCCGACCTAAAGCACGGTGCACCCGCTGTGCGGCAGCTGCTGTGCCTCCTCTTCCTCCTCCTCCTCCTCCTCCTCCTCCTCCTCCTCCTCCTCCTCCTCCTCCTCCTCCCCCTCCTCCTCCTCCCCCTCCTCCTCCTCCTCCTCCTCCTCCTCCTCCTCCTCCTCCTCCTCCTCCTCCTCCTCCTCCTCCTCCTCCTCCTCCTGTGCGCATTCTCGTGTGCACCCGCTGTGCCGCAGCTGCTGCATGCCGCCGGCCTCGGCCCCGCCGCCCGGGCGCCCCCCCCCTCGAGGCACGGGCGCCCTCTGGCGCCGGGAGGCGCCGGGAGGGCCCGACGCGTGACCTTCAGCAGGGGACAAACATCACACAGACACAATCAATCGTCGCTTCCCCCGGAAATATGGATTCATCGTCGAATCCCCAGAGAATATGGGAAAGCACGGGACGTGGGGGGGAAGACAAGAGCCCAGAGCATGGGGGGAACTATGGGGAGTCCTGTTGCTCGTGTGTCTCTTCATCCGTGTGTCCCAGGGCCCCGTCAGATCTGCGCTGCCGACCTCGGCTGCCGCGACCTCCCACAAAGCCGCAACCTCTTCCCAAGCTCGGATCTCGGGGCCCCCCCCTGGGGGACCGGCTCTCCGCCCCGCGCCGTGCCCTGCCAGCGCGGGGCTCGCGGAGGGCTACCCCCCCGGAGGCCCAGAAAGCGGCTCGGAGCCTCGGGGGGGCCCCCGGGTCGGCCCTCTGCGCAGGAGGGGCCCTCCGCTCCCGCGTGGCCTGCGGTGCGGGCCGGCCGCCCCCCCCGCGGCCCCCGGGAAGCCGCGCACCAGCCGCGCACCGGCAGCCCGCCCCCGCCGGACGTACACGTGTACATGAATCCACGCTGGTCTCGAAGGTGCGCATTGCTAGGGACTTACATGCGAACCCTACCCCTACCCCCCACGATTTCTGAGGGGGATGGTAGGGTTCACTTCGTTCGGGAGCTCCCGAGCGAAGTGAACCCCACCCTCCCCCTCAGAAATCGTAGGGGGTGGGGGTAGGGTTCGCATGTGGCCCCCTAATTGCGCAAGTGTTCGTACAACGCGGCCGCGGTCTCGCGGATCGAGGGGCCGCGTTCATGCACACAGTTGGGCGCGCATACGTTCTTGTGGGCTCCCTAACCCTTGCCGGTCGGAGGCGTCTGCCCAGCATGTCGCGAACTCGGTTCTGGCCTGCCACACTTCGGCGTGGCAGGCCAACCACGTCCCAGTCCCCGGGCGTCAGCGTGCTGAGCCTTTCCCAGCCTCCCGCCCCGCGGAGCGGAGCGACACGCGATCCGCTTGTAGGGCATGGCTTGCCCCCAGGGACGCCGCCGAGACGAGCTAAGCAAACGTTCCCGACGGCAGTTCCCCCCCTCCCCCCTCGTCCGACCCGGGTCAGGATCGGGGCCATTGCTTGGATTCGTGCCCTCTCGCGCCCGCCGTGGCCTGTCTCGCCCGCGCGTTCCCGTATGTTGAGCCGCGTGTCCGATGGGTCATGCGGTCGTGCGCATGAAGATGAGGTCAAGCTCCGCTTGTCGCCGTTGAACGGTCAGGATCGGCGCTGGACTTGACACCACACTTCGTGGGCCCTCTTGAATTTTGGGAGGGTGCTTCTGAGGTCTTCTCTCGCAAGCTGAAGCTGAGCAAGGAGAGGCAGGGCACCACCGAGGGCGGCGAGCCGTATGTGCCCCCAGACTGGGAGGCGGACGAGCGTACGCAGAGCGTCGCACTTTTGGTGTTCTTTCCGCTGTTCGTCGCCTTCCTGTTCAAGATCACCGAGTGAGCCAATTGTCTTTTTTGGCGATGCGCATTCCTCTTCGTCCTCCCCATTTTGTGTCCACCTACGCCTCATATACCCTCAACCGCGCAGTCTTCCACCTGAGGTCATGCACCCAACGGCTGCAATGCTTCGAAATGCGTGAGGGTACTGTGATCCTTGGAGCGATATGACCTGGCCCCCTGCCTCCCGCGGCGGGGATAGCATTCCGAGAGGGAAAACATTCATTCAATCCATGGAGTAAGTTCCGCATTGCACAGGCAGTCATTTCTTCATTCGGGCTCGTTCTGTTCCCCGGAGAGTGCTTGCAACTTGTGGGCTCTCTCTCTCTCTTTTCCCCCCGCCCCCCTGCCCCCCTCTCTCTCTCTTTTCCTGAGCTGAGGAGCAGTTGCTGCTAATTTTCCAATACCATAAGCTTGCGCCCGCTGGTTGCGCAATGGGCTGCGGACATGGGTTGGAGCTCCGTGTGCGGCCGACTTTTCGATGCCATAGGCTGGCATGTCGGTGCCATCCGTCGCGCCCACGGTCTGCATCATGGAGTGCGCACCGCGTGCCGCCGATCTTCCAGTGCCGCAGGCTGCGCCAGGGGCTGCGGCCGTGGGTTGTGTGCCGTGTGCCGCTGACTCGTTCGGTGTCATCGGCTTCGCGCCCACAGGTTGCACCCGTCCTCGCGATTGCCCTCAGGGCGCGGGCTGGTCCAGTGCGTGCCTACCCCGCTCAGCTCCACCGTGTGGCGCGCAGCCCGTGCGAGCCCCTCATCAGGTGCAGCGCCCACGCCGCATACACACGCCGCACCGGGAAGGGCCTCGGTGGCCCCGGGCACTTGCTGGCGCTGGCACACGTCCTGAGGACAACCCCTCGCCTCCTTCCCCGATCCTCCTGGCGTCTCTGCCGGCCCCACGGGCCCCCCACCAGGCGTGCACCAGCGGAGGTCCAGCTCGGACTTCCCCCTTCCCCCCCCCCCCCCTTGGCGCTGCCCTCCTCCTCGTAGTCCTCCAGCAGGATTGCGAGGAGGAGGAGGAGGAGGAGGAGGAGGAAGAGGAGGAGGAGGAAGAGGAGGAGGAGAAGGAGGAGGAGGAGGACATATAGATGCTGGCGGATCACATGGCGGCATGCCCCTGTAAGCAAGAAGCACATGGGCTGAGTCTGCGTGTCTGTTGATATGAAGCAGATACTCGGATAGATCGCGACAGTGACTGCGGGGATGGGGAAGTGAAACAGATAGCGCGACCTCCAACTCCGCCGGCCTTCCCCCCTCGCTCAGAGCCAGGGGGCGCCCCAGGCAGGCCGAGGGTGTCAAGAGAGACGCGTTGGCCCTGCATACATAGACCCACGCAGGGACACAGAGCGTTCAACCCCCATCTCGGATCCGCCCCCCGAAGCGCCTTTGCCTCCTTTCTTTCTTCTCCTCCTCCTCCTCCTCCTCACCCTCACCCTCCTCGTCTTCCTCCGCCGCCCCCGCCTCCTTCTGCTCCTGCGCCGCGGGTGGTCTGCAAGCTGGATCATCCCTTCCCGAAGCTGCTTTTGCGGGCGCGCGCCCGCACACCACATCCGTTTCGCCACCACATCCGTTTCGCCGTGCGCCGCACATCGCCGTGCGCCGAGTAGACGAGCCGTGAGCCGCGTATCGCGGCGCGGTGCGCTTCGGGTGGCCAGCGAAGTCGATGGGCCCACTGCCGCGCCATTCCGACCCCCTCCTCAAACCTCCACCTCTGCTCGTTGTGAAAAAAGAGACGGGAGGTTTTCGGTACGTTTCTGCTTCCGGGGGCCCTCACTGGGCCCCGGGACCAGCAAGGGATGACTCGGGCTGAAAAGCCGGTCCCGGGGAAGGGGTCCAGATCTCCGGGTGTTCACGCTGTGCAGCACCCGCGACGCCATAGCTGGGTATGGGGTTCTTCAGAGGTTGAAAGAACCCCACCCTGCCAAGGTCGATTCGCGAATTGTTTTTTGTTCCGGTTCCCGAGAGGGTGCTGCGACCGCCACTTTGATGGGCCTGCGCCCGCCGGATCTGGCCCTGGGTGTTCTCAGTGAAAGGGGTTTTGTCCGCCGAGGGAGGCCATTGCCGCGCCGGTCCGGTCCTCTCCTCGATCCTTGCTGCTCCTGCTGCTGCGGCAGGTTCGTGCCGTGTCGACGCGGCGGCGACCCAGCCGCGGGCGTTCAAGGTTGAACGCTGCCAGTGGCCCAGAATCCGCCGACGTGGACTGATCTACACGGTTGAAAAGCCGCGGTCGTGCAAGGCCGAGAGATCCGCACGGTATCAGAGGCCAACGCCTTGGTCGTCATGACACGAGCTTCCCGTACTTCTCATCCTCCTCATGTTGTGCTTCTGGCGGTCCTCGGGTGTTCGGTCTCTCGCTTACCGCTCGATCGCTGAAGTCCCCGTTGCCTCACTCGGCGACTCGCTCCACGTGCCCCCTCCCTGCCCCCCCTGCCCCTCCTGTGGCCGCCTTGGCTCGATCCGTGCCGGCTCAACTCCACCGGCCGCTCTTGCTCAGAGCGTCGTGCCAGAGCCTTGGCCCCCCTTTGGGGCGCGCGGCGCGGCGAGGGCAGCGATGCCAGATGCCACCGAGCGCGTTCCACTACTCGTATAAAGTGCCTGCTCGCAAACGTCAGACAAACACGTGTGTGCCTCGATGTAGTGTATCATGCAACGCCCGCGGCGAATCCAGGCCATTTGCGACTAGGTACTTTGGCGAGTAGTGGAACGCGCTTGTCTGATATGTGGCGGCGCGCCCTTGACCGCCACCGGATGCACTTGCCACGATCGTGACAGCCTCGGTGCTCCCCGCGCGGTGCTCCCCAGCACGTACCACGATCGTGACATCCTGTCACTCCTTTCCATCCATTCCCATGGCGCTGATTATTCTCTACGCGCGGACGCGTGCCATTGAGGTCCTGGTACTCCAAAAAAGACCCCATCGTGCTATACGCAATCGAATATGGGAGCTGCGTACACAGCATGAGGAGGAGAAGGAGTAGGAGGTGCCAGATTGGCCAGAGGATGAACGGGACAAAAAGGAGGAGGATGAGGAACGAGGAGGACGATGACGAACAGCAGCAGCGGGAACTGGAGTCGAAGGAACGGTAGGAGCAGGAGGACCAGGGGAAGGTGGAGGAGGAGAAAGGAGGGGGGCGACCACGATGAGGAAGGACTCAGATCCAGAAATGTGGCATGCACTGGGGCGACTGAACGGCGGGAGCAAACCGCCGATCCGAAAATGATGCCTACGCTGCAGCGGCATCACCAGTTTGAGACACCGAAATCAATCGAACCGACAAAACAACCGTACGAACAATCACTGTCTGAAGTTTTTTTTTTTTGTGTGTGTGTGTGTGTGTGTGTGTAAAAAAACAATACCTGGAGGGTGCGGGAGATCTTCGGGGCAATTTCAGGGGAGGAGGGCGAGTAGTCTCCATACTGTGTCATTGCTAAGTGCGGTCAGGGAGCTTGGCTCAGCTTGTCGCGGCGCCGGTTGTGGCCCACCACGCCTCGGCGCGACACGCTATCCATTTCGTGGTCCCCAGGCGTCCACGTGCCGAGCTTCCCCAAGGCCTCCCGCCCCGTGCAGCGGGGCGATGCGCCAGCCGCCTGCAAGGCATAGCGTGTCGCCGTGGCCGCCACCGCGACACGCTAAACAACAGTGCCCGACCGCAGCATTCGCATCGAGCAACTGTGGCGTGCGGCCTTTGCACGCGAATCTCCTGTGGTTTTCGCATCAGGCATGCAACTCGTCGGTTTCACTCTGTCAGGCCTTCGCCGTGTGCTGCCTTGCTGTGCATCGCCTCCCTGTCAAAAAAACGTTCAGTACAGTCGGCCCAGATTAGTAGGTCGACCCTTCCAAATCAAGGGTACCCTTGTGTCCTGTGTCCCGCGATCCACGCTTCCTGCATTCCTGTGGCAATGTGGCCCTCGGAAGGGTCTTGTGTCCTGTCGCGTGTCCTGTCCAATCGAGTCCTTCAGCAATCTGTTGCGTAAGGACCCAGCCGTTGCCCGCCCCGCCTGCGAACGCAGACCTGGGCCTCTCCGCGGCCTGTCTGCGGCGGCGGCGCGCCCGCGCGCCAGGCTGCCGCGCTGGCTGCGGGCGAGGCCCAGCTGTACAGGAGCCGGGCGTCCCTGCTCCCCGCTCGCTCTGCCAAGTGCGCCTCCACCTCCGCCTCCTTCGCCACCTCTTTCTCCTCCTCCTCCTCCTCCCCCTCCTCCTCCTCCTCCTCCTCCTCCTCCTCCTCCTCCTCTTCCTCCTCCTGTGCAGGCTATTCTAACGTGTGGCGAACCCCTAAGCCTGACGGGGGAACTCGATACCTTCATGGACTGTGCCCGCTGTTTCGTGCTGTTTGCCGAGGCATCTACAAGAGTGTCCCCTTTTCGCTCCCGTCACCTGCTGATCAAGATTGTGTGCCACATCCACGACATGAAAACGCGATCTTGGTCGTACATGTTACTGCTTCGCGTCTCCGACGAGAGCGTAAGCATCATATTGCAGTATTAGACGACATGACCAATGCATACGGCTGTTGCTCGCACGAATGATTCGATGAAGTGCTTCATGCGTATTTACCTTATGCTGACGCTAATCTATTGCAGGATCGTCGGCGCACGCATGTACTCCACATTGATGTTGTGGATGGCGACATACAGCTATTACTAACTACTGGGGCGCTGATGGGTGAGACCTCCGCGCCTGACGAATTTCGCATGGATTTTCAGAAGCCTATCCACCAATGGCGCCATCGGTCCCCGCAGCCTCAGTTGCTGGTCAGGTGCCCCCTGGTACCTGACCCAGTCGACGCATCTTTGTCGAAGTATGTCGACGACCTGTATTTTTTTATTGTGTTGTCCTCGGGACGCTTACAAGAAGCCATCGAAGCTGTGGCTGCTGAACAAATGCTGACGGATGAGATCCTTTCAGAGTATGGCTACAAGCAGGATCTCAAGAAGCAAGTGTTGGTGCCCTGGCTGCAGGGGTATCATGGTAATCGATTGTTTTACTCCTCCCCTGTGGGAGGCGCTCGTGTGCTCCCACATGCTCGCTACCTTGGCCCGCTGTTCATGCCTGCTGGTACACTTGGACCGCAGACCGTGATTGCCAAAAATGCAGCGGCAAGGGGTTGGTGTGCGTACAAAGACTTCTGGGGCAGTGGGGCTCCTTGGAAGGTGAAGCGCTTGATTTTTTGTCAGTGTTGTCCAGGGAGCCCTCCTCTCGGGACTGGTTCCGTTTATGTTGTCCACCGCTCAGCAACGTGAGCTTGGCTCCTGCCAGTTTCGAAAGATTCGGTCGGTTTATCGGGGTGCTGCTTGTGAATGGAAGGGCCCTCGCCCTGTTTCCTGGGGCTCTCGACGACTGTGGTTATGGTTTGGTCCCATCCCGACGCGGTACGCATTATTGATACAGCGACTTCGATGGTATCAAGCGATGCTCCGATTCCCCGAGGACCACACTCAGGTGCTTGCGATTCTCTTTGGTCGATTTGAGTTTGAAACGTACGACGCGATGAATGGCGGCATTCCCACGAACGACGCGAACCCCTTCGCCCATCGTTTTGTAAGTGATACTGCGTGTCTTTCGATACTTACTGATATGGAGGACTGGATGGATATTTTGGGGAGGTCTCTTACTAGGCTCTTTGAGGGTGCGTGCGACAAACATAGATCTCTTTACACGGATGTGGGTGCCTTTCGGAAGCTCTACCAATTTGGGGCCATGGGACCTGGCATTGACCTAGGTGAGTTCCCTGACGAAGAGGAGGAGGTCTGGGGCATGGCTGAGCTGCGTTACAACTGTACCTGCTTGAACGAAGATGGCACATTGTAGCGCAGTGTTCAGATCTCGTAAAGCACTCACTATGCATAACGCATTCACTAGGGGCGGCACGCATGGCAAGACGTCGAACATCCTTAAGTGTGTCATCATCAACAAATGCCCGTGCTGTATGCAAACATTTGCGTTTCGGAGGTCGGCTAAGTCTCATGTGCAGGCTGCCTTTTCGAACGGGTACTTGTGGTGTTAGGACGGCCCATGCTGTATATCCCGTTGTGAGTGCGCCATGGAAGTGCCCTGTTTGCGGTGGCGCTTCGTATCAGAATTTGGCTCAGCTCCAGTTGCATATTCGTGATTGCCACTGACCCCCCCCCTCCGCGACCTCGCGATGACGTCGATGGAACCCGCCTGGGCGCTCAAGAGGAAAGATGGAGGCGTCGCATCCGAGGCCCCCCCACACACACACGCACACACGCACGCGCAGCAGAAAGCAAAAGGCGCTCCTCCCACGCGAGGATCGGCAGCAGGCTCGGGCAGTCAAGGCGCCGCTGGACCACCCCCCTCTGGCGGGGGAGGCAAGCTGAAGGAAGCCGCGCAAGGATCGGAACAGAGGTCTCGGGCCGCTAGCCGACACAGGGTTCAACAAGAAACAACAGAACGCGGTCGCCGTCCCCATCAAACAAGTGCTCATGACAACCCAGATGATGCGGGACCGATGGGCCCTCGGGATCGACGCGTGGTTCCTCGACTCGACGTTGCCCGAGATAGAAGCCGCCCGCGTCGAAGGCCAGAATTGCAGCCAGAACGTGCGCGACGCGGGTCGGGGCCGCCAGCT